GAGACAACTTGAGAAAAGCGGCTAAAAGAATGAAAAGGAATGCTGACAGAACTAGGCGGCCTTTGGAGTTCAATGTTGGTGACCAGGTGTTGCTGAAACATACTCCACAAATTTGGAAGAAAATCTGTAGCAAGATGCATCATCGTGGGATGATTCCAAAGTATGATGGCCCATTTGAAGTAATAAAGAAGGTGGTGAAGTGGCTTATCGGCTGAATCTGCCGGAACGTCTCAAAATTCACCCAATTTTTCATGTGAGTTTCCTGAAACGGTTCCATGAAGATGCTGAAGATCTGACAAGGGCGACGCCAAAGCGTGCTCCTCCAGTAGAGCGCAAGCAACTTGAAGAGACTATTGAGAAGATTTTGGATCACCGTACGCTGGGTCAAGGCAATAAAAATAGGGGGACAGAGTTTCTGGTTAAATGGACGGGAAAGCAGGAATGTGATGCAACTTGGGAGAAAAGACCGTCTCTATGGCAATTTCAGGATCAAATCAAGGAGTATCTGGTTTCTGCCTCGTCGAGGGCGATGAGCTCATCTGGTGGGGGAAGTTTGTTAGCCCCTCAGCTTGATTGATCGAACATGGCATGGGCGTTACGAGGGATTTACATGATGGACCTCATCACGACCCTATGATGACTGTGGCATCATGTTGACAAGGTTGTCCGGCATGGGCAGGTGTCGATGGGCATGGATTGTGGCATGACGGCATGTGGCTAAGATGCCAAGGCATGAAAAGACCATGGTATTGACGTGGCCATGGAAAAGCAAAGACAACGGGCAGTAGAAGCATAATAAAGGGTGGAAGAACTAAGGCAAGTTAAGGCAGGGCGTGGCAAGGCAGATGGGCGAGGGCAAGGCAATGTCATGGGCGAGCTGGGCAAGCGGCAGTGGCAGACATGCATGCAAGGCATGCTGCATGAAGGCTTGGCGCGAAGACATGACAGAGTTGTCCTTTGGCACCAAAATTCAAAGGTTGCGCCCATGTGCCACGCACATACAGGGTAGTTGGCTAGTTGGAGCAGTTTCCTGTTTTTCAACATAGTGGCTATGTGGGGCTGTGGGAGTTGTCTTGTTTGAATTTAGAAATTTGAAATCCTTTGCAGTTGGGAATGTCAACTGCTAGATAGGATAAGGCTGAACGCCAAAAACGTTTTCCTATAAATTCTTAGTCTAGGCAGATTGTCAAGGCAGAATGTTGGTTGTCTTTGACTCTATTTTGTAAGGTTGTGTTTATGTGCTTCTTTGTAGCACGAGTTAATACAAAGTTGGGAATAAATTCCTATAAGTTGTGTGCCTTGTCTGATCACTACTAAACATTCGGGCAAAACCGTCCAAAGTTGGTCGGTAATGGCCAATAACCATCCAAAACGCGACCATTTACGTGTGGACGGTATTTTAAAGGTCGGAAGGGCATACCGACCAAAGTTGGTCGGAAATTACTATGCTTTACACGACCACCTGACAATGTAATTGGCTTACCGACCAAAATCGGTCAGAATATTATTTTATTAATTTGATTTTACCAATAAAATTTGGTCGGTGTATTAAATTTATTCATTTTTCATACTGACCAACTTTGGTTGGTACTGAAAATTTTTTTTAATAAATTATTAAAATTTAAAAAAACCATCCAACTTTGGTCGGTAATGGAAATTCTTTTTTTAATAATTAAAATATAAAAATTCCGACCAACGATGGTCGGTAAACTGAACAGTGCAGGCAGAAAATTGGCCAAAGTTGGTCGGTAATGTTGAATTCTTGGAATTCATTGTACATTAACCGACCAACATTGGTCGGTAATGTGCAATTTAATTTTTTTTATTTTATTTACCGACCAAAGTTGGTCTGTTTTCTGTGTTTGATTTTGGCACAAAATGCTTGTTTTGGTAGCTACTCCACCTGCCAAATAAAAATAGCATACCAATACCCCCAATTCACATCTAATAATCACCAATTCACCTCATACAACCCCTAATTCACCACAAATCCAACCAAATATCTAACAACAACCAAACATCCTATTAATACTTTAAAACTAACAAAATAAAGTTCAATTTAACATCACAATCCAAAACCAAGCAATAACTAATTACAACAAGTTAAAAACTGTTCAATCTAATTCAATACTAGTTCTACTACTCTAGCTCAAAGTATATCAAAGTATTGGTCAAAGGGTGTTTTCTACAACATCATCACCATCTGATGAACTTTCATCTACAAGACGGTATAGAGAACGGTCTTGTGGAGGACGGGAAGAACGATCACGGGGAGGATGGGAGGAACGATCACGTGGAGGTCGAGAACAAATACTAAAAACTCAATTCAATTCAAAGTTAATAATTCAGTTCTAACTAAACTATTCAAGATAATACAAACTTAAACATTCAATTTACACCATATGTAATCAATTCAATTAAAACAAGACCTACTAATTCACTAATTCATAACTAACTAACAAAACATTAAATTTATACAAAAAAGATATAAGTTGTAATTCAAACCTAGAATTTTTAGGAGGTGGAGAAGGAGGGGAGGCGGTGGTGGAGTCAGTAGCAGCGGCAGCAGCGACGATGGGGGAGTGGCGACACGGGGCAGTGGCTACATGGGGTGGGGAATGGGATTTGCATGAGGGAAATAGAGAAGGAGAGGAGGAAGGGTAGTGCGTGTGTGAGGGAGAAGAGAGTGAGGAGTAAGAAAATTTTGAGAAGAGAGTAAGAGAAATGAGGGGGAAATCTTGTTTTCAGATCTAAAATTAGAGTTACCGACCAAAGTTGGTCGATAATTTTGATCGGCACACTAAGTGTTGACTGTTTGACTATTAACCTACCAACTTTGGTCGGTTATTTTAAAAAAAAAACTAATTTTTTTGTGTTTTTATTTCTAAAGATATTATAAACTATAAAAAAATTATTATAAACTATAAGAATTTATTTATTCACAGATAAATTTATTATAAATAATTATAAACTATAAGCATAATCTTTATAAAATAATTATATTAACTAATTACTTTTAATAAATTATAATAGCATGTATCTAAGTTAATTTTCTAAGTTATAATTAAGTATATGAGTAATTTCATACACACAAACACACACACATATATACACTATATTGTAATTGATGATCAATCACATACATTACTACGTACGAAAAATTTATCAATTGATAAACCAATATTGTTCTATTTTAAATATGTTTATATATATATATATATATCTAACCATGGTCGTGATGGCGCCTATCGTGTTACAAGGCAAGCCTACTTCCCAAAATATTACTACTAAACCGATTATAAGAAATTAATAAAATATTTCAACATTTAAATTTTTCATAAACTAAATCAACTCTAAATATAATATAGAAAAATACGTAAACGAGCCCCAAACATCGGGGTGTCACTAAGTCATGAGTGTCTAAAACTATAAACTAAGACATATAAACTGTCTAACTGTCCAAAAGAAGAAATGACAAGAGGAGTAACAAGGTCCTGCGGACACTAGCAGCTACCTTGCAATCTCCACAGATAGCCAGCGTGAACCAACGATCGCCAAGCTCTAACTCACCTGGATCTGCACATAAAGTGTAGGGTGTAGTATGAGTACAACCGACTCAGTAGTAACAGAAATAACTAAGGAACTGAGCAGTAGTGACGAGCTAAGTAAAACAGCCCAATTATTTAGATAAACTTATACCATGACTTATACCCTATAACTATTTCATTTTATTATTGCATCATCATTACTTGCAATCACTACACCATAATCGATTCTTATATTTCACATACTGTAGCAGTGTAATGTAACGAATAACTGAGGCCTTGTTTACAAAGCTTCAATATTATAACAAATATTTAAACTGTCTAACTGTCCAAAAGAAGAAATGACAAGAGGAGTAACAAGGTCCTGCGGACATTAGCAGCTACCTTGCAATCTCCACAGATAGCCAGCCTGAACCAACGATCGCCGCGCTCTAACTCACCTGGATCTGCACATAAAATGCAGGGTGTAGTATGAGTACAACCGACTCAGTAGTAACAGAAATAACTAAGGAACTGAGCAGTAGTGACGAGCTAAGTAAAACAGTCCAATTATTTAGATAAACTTATACCATGACTTATACCCTATAATTATTTCATTTTATTATTGCATCATCATTACTTGCAATCGCTACACCATAATCGATTCTTATATTTCATATACTGTAGCAGTGTAATGTAACGAATAACTGAGGCCTTGTTTACAAAGCTTCAATATTATAACAAATATTTAGAGACTCAATCATTACTTCATCATTGCCGCATCGTCATTATTAGCGTACATCGAAGAAAGAATAGAAATTTGAATCAGTATACACTAGAATTGCATTCTATTGCAGTGACTTTCAATACTACTAATCATTAGCTCCTTACTATGCTATTATTATTATACCATCATTATAAGAATATAAATTATAACCCTACCACTCTACTTCATCAATATAATCTATGTTATTGTATGGACCTGTATGCTTAAAGTTTTTTTTCCACAAAATTCCACAGAGAGTTAGGCTTAGATTTTCCCACAGATGTGCCGTCACAGTGCCCTATTTGTTCTTCCCTATATTCTGGTATCTTCTAATGGAACAAGGAATCAAAATTTTCTCTATTTAAACTTGTAAGTCCTAAAATGTGTTGTGCATCAGATGTGGGTTTTGGGCCCGCTATTTTATTCATATCCTATTTTTATTATCATATTCGTAAAGTAGGCCCACTATCTATTTATATAATATAGTACCTTATATATATACACGTAATAAAGCCCAATTTTCAACTTAAGCCAATTCAAGCCTGATTCTACTACGGACCTCCAAATTACATTCCGGACACACTCCTAAGTCTAAAATCAGCCAACAAAGCTAACTGAATCATAAAAATCCAAATCCGAATTCGTTTACTCATAAGTCAACTTCCAGTTGACTTTTCTAACTTAGCTTTCTAAATAAGAGACTAAGTGTTTCATTTCACTCCAACACTACTACGGATCCAAACCTACTCAACACAGCTGAACAACACATAAAGAAGCAGAAATTAGAGAGACGGGGCTATAACTCTCGGAACGACCGGCCGGGTCGTTACATTCTCCCCTTCTTAAACAAACGTTCATCCTCGAACGAGTCTAAAAACATACCTGAAATCGCAGCATCTGAAGCAATAGCATTTGGTCTAGCTGGGAGGGCATAGAAACGGGCCTGACCACCCCCTGATCTGCCTCCCCCTCTCGGGCGACCCATAGCTAACTGGGCTCCGCCCCTAGCTAGCTGAACTCTACCCCTAGCTGGCTGGGCGGGTGTTGGAGGAACTGGTGCTGGTGCCGCCGGCCGAGTACTCCGCTGCGAAGTCCCACCCAACAGCCTAGGGTAATATCTTGCAATGTGACCAAAATCCTCGCACTCGAAACAACCCCTCCTCTAACGAAACTACTGCTCCTGATGCCCAAAAGAATTAGCCGATGATACCTGAGCGGGTAGGGAATAATTGGAACCCTGCGCTGGCAATGCACTGAATGATGACTAACTCTGCAGAAACTGACCTCCCTGAGGAGCACCACTGAAACCACCCTGACCACGAGGCCTCTTAGCCTCCCTCTCAGCCCTCTCCTGACCTCGGACTATCTCAATCTGTCGAGCAATGTCAACGACCTCATCAAAGGTAGCACCAGATACTCTCTCCCTGGTCATAAGCAATTGAAGCTGAAAATTGAGGCCATCTACAAACCTCCCGATCCTCTCTCGATCTGTGGGAACTAACTAGACCGCATGACGAGCCAACTAGGAGAACTGCATCTCGTATTGTGTAATAGACAACTCACCCTGACGAAGCCGCTCAAACTGCCTGCGCAACTCCTCTATGCAGGACTCGGGTATAAACTTCTCTAGAAAGAGAACGGAGAACTATTTCCAAGGAAGGGGCGTTGTACCAACCGGCCTACGCCTCTCGTAAGCCTCCCACCAATTAAGTGCAGCCCCAGAAAACTGGAAAGTAGTGAATGAGACCCCACTGGTCTCCAGAAGCATCCTCTGATACTTATCCAAGAAACCTTGTGCATCCTCACCCTCAGCACCACTAAATGACGGAGGCTGGAGTCTCCCGAACCTCTCCAATCTGCGCTGCTCATCCTCTGGCATCACAGGAGCTACATAGTCCTGAGCAGCTGCAACCGGCTAGGCTGGAGGTGCCCCCAGCGTGTGATGTCCCTGAACAACCTGCTCAGGTGTGCGGGCGGCGGGAGTCTGGGTGCCTCCCCCAGCCTTAGAAGTAGATGCGGTCGTAGTAACTGAGACCGCCTGAGCAAGGCCCGTACACACTGATAGAATCTGGGCCAGGGCCTCCTGAAGGCCCGGAATAACAATAGGCACAGGTGGTGCCTGAGCTGGTCCCGCCGGAACATCTACCTCGGGGACCTGGTCCTGAGCGGGGACAACTGGGGGATCACTAGGTGCTGCCCCAGCTGCTGTGCTGGCGATGTCTCTGCCCCTACCACGGCCTCTACCGCGGCCTCGTGCTCTCGCGGCCTGAGCTGGTGGTTTTCCCTCTTGACCGGTAGCACGAGTCCTCACCATCTGTGAGAGAATGAATAACAGATGTTTAGTTGCCAGAATACATAAAACGCACGACAAGAATCTAAGAATGTGAAATTTTTCCTAAAGGTTCTGCAGCCTCTCGAAGATAAGTACAGACATCTCTGTACCGATCCACAAGACTCTACTAAACCCGCTCATGACTCGCGAGACCTATGTAACCTAGGCTCTGATACCAACTTGTCACGACCCAAAATCTAACCATGGTCGTGATGGCACCTATCGTGTTACAAGGCAAGCCTACTTCCCAAAATATTACTACTAAACCGATTATAAGAAATTAATAAAACATTTCAACATTTAAATTTTTCATAAACTAAATCAACTCTAAATATAATATAGAAAAAATACGGAAACGAGCCCAAACATCAGGGTGTCACTAGGTCATGAGCGTCTAAAACTATAAACTAAGACATATAAACTGTCTAACTGTCCAAAAGAAGAAATGACAAGAGGAGTAACAAGGTCTAGCGGACACTAGCAGCTACCTTACAATCTCCATAGATAGCCAGCCTGAACACAACGATCGCCGCGCTCTAACTCACCTGGATCGGCACATAAAGTGCAGGGTGTAGTCAAGCCCAACACCGAGGTTAGTCAAGCCAAACTTAACCAACTAGTGGGTTTCATTTATGTTAGCAATACAACATTTACTTAGGTTAAATTTAAAACATTCATTAATAATGAATAGTTTAGGCAATTTGAAATTGAAGTGACCAAATGATGTCATAATAAGTGATTACATTCCAAAAGAATAGTCTACTAATGTGTGTGCCAAGACCTGGTGTCACTAGTATATGAGCATCTAGTAGAATATACAAAAGAATATATCTTCCTACTACCTGAAATAGAATAGACAGTTAAAACAAAAGAGAGACTCCATCATGCTGTTGAACGGCACCGGAAAGGAGCAGCTCAGCGTGGAATCTCGGCCAACTATCAAGAATCCGCACCAAACGGGTAGCCAGATGCACCTGCCTCAGATCCTGTACATTTAAGTATAGAAGCGTAGTATGAGTACATAAACAATATGTACCTAGTAAGTATCCAGTCTAACCTCGAAGAAGTAGTGACGAGGGGTCGACTTGACACTTACTAGGGTCAATAATAATAAAATTTAAGTGTTATGCTAAGCATGGATATCATATCATAATAGATAACAATTTATAACAGGGAGTGACAGGTTCTTTTCTAGATAATGTTTCAGTTAACATTTCATATTTCAAGGCATTTAGAACAGTTCAAATCACAGAAGGTACCGAGCAAGAAGCATGCGCAAATAATGCCGAGGTCGTACGGCCCGATCCAACATAAAAATAAAGTGTGCACCGCCGGAGGGTCGAACGGCGCGAACCATAGATGTATCTATTACCCCGCTCGTGAATCATACATGCGACGCGGTCAAAAATAGACAACCATATCAAGCAGTCAATCAACAATTTATCAGAAAAGCAATTATCCACGGAAATGTCAAGTTTCTCTTTAGCGGTCAAGAAAATGATATTTAGCTTTTTAGAAATTCCTTTGCCAAGTTCAATACATTTCGCGCAGTCTAAATTAACGATAAAGTTATGGATATGGCAAGTAAAGTATGCTTTTGGGTCCTAGACTACCCGGACTTAAGCATAATAGTGGCTACGCACGGACTCTCCTCACCTCGTGCGTACGTAGCCCCCGCAATTAGTGACAAACATCCAATTATTTCTCCTATGGGGACAATTCCCTCTTACAAGGTTAGAAAAGAGACTTACCTTGCTTCACGGTCTACTTTCCGGTCTAAGCTTATGCCCAAATCCTCAATTTGGCGCCAAACACTCCAAAACTATTCAAATAGCATAAAAACTAATCAATATAGGCTTAAAAGTTCATATTCCAACCATTAGAGTGATTTCCTAACCCAAATTACAAGATTCCTAAAATTCACCCCCGGGCCCAAGTGCCCGAATTCCTGAAATTTTTTAGGAGAGTTGTTACCCGTAACCTAAGGATCAAGAATATATGATTTTTACCTCATTCCATAAAAAAATTCGTGGTTAAATCTTGTTTTTACCAAAACCCTAGGTTTTACTCTAATCCCATGATTTCCACTAATTTCTATGTGTTAATCTACCCAAATCCCAAGTATTAAACTCACATTAAGTTGAGCTAGAACACAAGGCCATGTGGGCTTTGAGGAAGCTAAATCTTGAATGGGATGTGGCAGCAAATCTTCGTGTGGAGCAGCTTAATGAACTTGATGAATTCTGATTTCATGCCTACTCCAGTTCGTCCTTGTACAAGGACAAGATGAAGTACCTTCATGACAAGTATGCTCGTGGCAAGGAGTTTAAAGTGGGTGATTTGGCTCTCTTGTTCAATTCTCGGTTACGTCTGTTTCCGGGAAAGCTTAAGTCAAAATGGAGTGGACCTTTTGAAGTGGTGCTTGTGACTCCGTTTGGTGCACTTGACTTGAAAAACAAAAATGGAGAGATCTTCAGAGTTGATGGGCACAGAGTCAAGCACTATCTTGGCAAGATTGATGACAGCCACGTGGTGGCAATGATCCATCTAAAGTGATTTGATGGTAACCTGCATCGTGCCGCGATGTTAAATCAGGCGCTTCTTGGGAGGCAACCCATGTGTCTTTCTTTTTGTTTTTCTTTGATTTTCTTTTTAGTGTAGGATTTGCTTTTGGACTAACTGGTTGTGATATGTGTGTAGGGTTGTTTTGATGCAGTGCAGGACCAAATTGAAAAAAATGTTGTACTCTCTGAAGTTTGGACCGTTGCCGCATTGCATTTTTCGCGGCCGCAATGGCCTTATCGCGGGGGCAAAATTTCATTGCGGTTCGCAGTGCTAAATGGTGTGGAGGCTCTCTGAAGTTTTCACCGCGGCCGCAATGCATTTTTCGCGGTCTGTGGTGCCCTACCGCGGCCGCGGAGCATTTTCTGCGGTCCACGGTGAAGTCCCTGCCAGTGCCTCTTGTGTTTTATTACCGCGGTGCGCAGTGGATTTTACGTGGCCGCAGTGTGTAAGTAGCATGGGTCCCAGGTCCTTTTTCTATAAATAGGACCTCAGGCCCCCTTTTACACTTTTCGCTCATTTGCACTCTAAAAAGATAAAGTACTGTTCATCACTATCCTAAGTGCACAAATTCAAACCCTGATTCTCAATCATCTGTATTGCATCTCATCTCTGGTACTTCAAATCTTTCCCTAGTCTTTAATTTTGTTTTATTCTCTTTTAATTTGTTAGTTCGTACTTTTTCTTCTTCCCTTTTCTTTCAATCTTTAATTTAGGGTTACATAATGTTGTTTATATTAGGGTTAATTAGTCAAACATGGTGATTAACTACCTAGCGGGTTGATAATATGTTGATTAAGGCTAAAATGTGCAAAAATTTGAAACCCTAGGTTTGTGTTGCTATGTACTACTTACCGCGACCGCGATTGATTTTTCGCGATCCGCGGTGCCTCTCTGCGGCCGCATTGTGTTTTTTCGCGGCCCGCGGTGGTCAACTTCAGAGAGGTCGATTTTTAGGACCGCGGCCGCGGTTGATTTTTCGCGGTCCGCGGTGCCTTACCGCGGCCGCACTTTATTTTTTGCGGTCCGCGGTGACCTGAATCAGAGGGTGGGTAGTCTGAACCCCACCCCACTGCGGTCCGCGGTGCTATTTTATGAGGTCTACGGTGGTGCCTTTGCGGCCGCAATGCTTTTTATGCGGTCCGCGGTCAGCTATTTTCATTCCCATTCTTCACTGTTTCTTCTGGTAGTGTGATACTAACAAACATTAACTGAATTCTCCAGACAATGGTTAAATCAAGAGGAGGTGGTGAAAAACAGAAAGAAAAAGGAGAGTCCTCTCGGGATAGGGGACAAGGAATGATCAAATTGACCCCCCAAGTCCGGAAAGCAATTGGGGAAACCAGAAAACAAATAAAGGCTGCAGATAGAGCTGCTTCCCATTCAGAGGGAAGTGAGTATTTGCCCTCCCTGGAGGCATCTGAATCTGGAAAACTTAACTTATTAACGTTATGAATTAATTAACATCAAGGTATTCAAGAAAATTTGGGCCCCAAGATCAAGCCCAAACTCAAACAAGGACGATCTCCAATATTGAAGAAACCCTTAGTTCGAGCCACTTGACTTGGAAGGCCCAAAGCTCATGTTTAAGTTTGGGCTGTCACACCTCCTTTTTACACACCCGAAGGTAGTATAAGGGAGTTTTTCTAATTAAAGTGATATTTTTCGAAATGGGATTATTTTATTCATTTTTATTCAGAGTCGCCACTTGGGATAGTTTATTTTGTGTCCCAAGTCACCGGTTTATTTTAAAATCCCAGATCGAGGAAGATTTCGACTTTCCTTTTGAAGTCTGCGAACCAGAAATTCTGAATAAGGAATTCTGTTAACCTGAGGGAAGGTGTTAGGCACCCCCGGATTCCGTGGTTCTAGCACGGTCGCATAAACTATTATAATTGGCCTATTATCTGATTTTAATACATGTTTTAGCCTATGGTGCATTTTTAGCTTATTAACCGCTTTTAATTAGTTTAGGAAGATTCAACGTTATTTAAAACACGTCTTTGAACCACGCCACATGAAATGCACCCGCGGTCCACGACACATTTTATTTAACGTTGTTGAGATTTGGATTTGGGTCACATGAAATGTACACCCGAGTTTAAGGAAATTAATTTAAATTACGCGCCTAAAGCAATTACGCACTTTCACATTTGCGAGGGCCATGGAAAATTCAACTAAATGGCACGCCCTGATTTCTAAGGATTAAAATTAATTAAATGAGGACCATGCGTTTTGAGATTTTATTTGGCACGTCACACCTCGATTCCAATTTTTTAAAGGGAACTCAAACTAAGCTTTTGAGGGCCATAACTATATCTTACTTAATATGGCACGCCTCAAATCTACTTTTAAGAGCCCAATTAACTTTCCCGTCGTATACAGGGCCAACGACACATGCAACAAATTAAATCTCTTTTTTGACATTCAAAAGATGGATGTGGGCTGCCGAAACATGCCCAGCAAACATGAAACTTGCATATATTACCAAACAAAAGCAAATTCTAAAAAATGGTTCAATTAATGATAGAAGCAGGGAATGTTGATTATATATTGATGCTCATCATGTGAATTACGATTGTACTTATACAAATCCAGATACAGGCCCTAGTTACACTAAATTTCAATAAAAATGGATTTCCTTGGACCGTAGTCTCTCATTTCCCCAACAGATTCTCAATTCACAAGGAAACAACTATCATTGACCATACAGCTCAAAACAAAACCCATTTAGAGTTGGCTTAACCCTGTAGGTTCACCTTAAGCATGAATAACTGCTTTTAGGAAACGGGTTCTGCCAACAAACGGCATCAATTTAATCAACCATTACTTAACAAATTCTTTTTTTAATTGCATTTAAATGAAACGTGTATTATAGCATCAGATATTAATCAAAGGAAAGAGACTTAGCTGATTTGAAAACTAAACAGACCAGCTCTAAAAGATCAATCACACACTGAATATGAACAACTCATGTTTCATCCCCAAGCTGAAATGGATACAGATTCCCAAGTTAATAACACATAAAATCACTCAACAAGTGCCGAAGTAAACACATGGGTACAGATTTCACGAGATTCACGCTAGAAATAGTTATTTTTTAGACTGAAAATCATACCTCGACAGCAACAATACAGCTCAAAACTATCCAAATGAAGCTGGCCCGAAATGTTCAACGGGATACTCAACAGCAGCGAAACAAGCAAAATGAACCAAATGAAGGTGAAGAAAAACTGCTACAGAGCTCAGAAAAACCAGCGCCAAGACAGCAATTCCATGGCTCAAAACAACCTTTAGAAACCCAGAAAGAAGGGAAAATTTCGAAATTAGTCCTCTTCAAACCCCATTGAAAGTTCCAGTTTTCTCATTTCTCTTGTTTCAACCATTTTGTGGATGCTTCTAATTTTTCCTTTGGTTGTTTTTTAGAGAAGTCGGAGATGGGGTGGCTAAGGTCTTCGTTTTCCCTTTATCTTGCTTCGGGGCGATTTTTGGCTTTCTCTCCGCATCAGCAATGGCAATTATAGCCTTTAATGCTGGATCAAATTTCCTATTTTCACAAATCATTCCAATTACTGGCCCATTGTTGTGGGATGGCAGTGGGTTATTCGTCACGTTGGGGACATCCTCATTCCTTAGCACTATCTTTCCTTGTTCTATCAAGTCTTCCATGGCTCTTTTCAAAGTCCAACAGTTTTCTGTATCATGCCCCTCAGCTCCTGAGTGATAAGCCCATCGGACGCCTCGCGGATAGGAAGGTGATTCTGGGTTTTGCCTGTTTGGAGGTATGGGCTGCAGCAGACCCATTTGAACAAGCTTCGGAAACAGACTGGAGTAGGGTTCACCGATTGGTGTGAAATTTGGCCTCCTCGGTGGTTCAAGGGGACGGAAGTTATTTTGTGGAGGACGGGGGTTATAGTGGTTTTGGTGAGGAGGCTGGTTTCTTTGAAATGGAGCTTGGTTTCTATTGGCATGTTGCTGCGGTCGTACAAAAGGTTGAGCATTCATGACCGCGTACGGTTGAGGAGCATAGGCCATGTCCTGGTGAGGGTAATAATGTTGAGGGGTTCTTTCTGGGAACATGGGTCTAGGAGCACGGTGTCTTCTTGCACCCGATGCCGCCATGGATGTTTCTTCTTTCTTCTTACCTTTTGCTACTCCTCCTGACCCGCCTTGAATGGCTTGGGAGGTTGCTCTAATAGCGGACTGGCTCCGAATTCTGCCCGTTTTCAATCCATTTTCCACCATTTCACCAATTTTAATAGCTTCTGCGAACGGTTTACCCATAGCTGACATCATATTTTGGAAATAATCAGCTTCTTGAGCTTGAAGGAACACCGTGACCATTTTGACCTCGTCCATTGGAGGCTTTACTCTTGATGCCTGCTCACACCATTTGATTGCATATTCCCGAAAGCTCTCCGAGGACTTCTTTTTCAGATTTACCAAGGAGTTCCTGTCTGGAGCAATGTCTATATTGTACTAGAACTGTCTGACAAAGTCTCTAGCAAGGTCGTCCCAGATGTGCCAGCGAGAGACATCCTAATCTATGTACCACTCAGAGGCGATACCCACCAGACTTTCCCCAAAGTAAGCCATGAGTAATTCTTCTTTTCCCCCAGCTCCTCGCAACTGATTGCAGTATTTCTTAAGATGAGCAATAGGATCACCGTGCCCATCGTACTTTTCGAACTTCGGAGTTTTGAATCCCATAGGCAAATGTACATGAGGGAACATGCATAGATCAGTATATGACACGCTCTTCTGCCCACTCAGACCCTGCATGTTTTTGAGGCTCTGCTCTAGGCTTCTCATCCTCTTTGTAATTTCTTCCTGTTCAGGGGTTTTGGGAGTCCTTTCTTGTCCCATGGTGAACTCAAATGGAGGTGGCTGAGGATAAGTATGAGTTGGGAACTGAGGAGGCTCCATTTGGTAGGTAGGTGTTTGGAATGTGAAGGCTGAATGATCAAAGGTGGGCCTGGGCAGTGCGGGCTGTGTTGTGGCCAGGCATGGGGGAGCGGTGAAGATATTGGAAGCCGCTCCGAACATGAACACCTGGGGGAGAACCTCAGAAGGTGTCCCTACGAAATGAGCTGATATGGTAGGCTGTCCCAGTGGGGTATTAGGATGACTGATGGGAGTATTGGAGGTACCCCCTGATCTAGGGAACAGTTCGGGGAATCCGGGGATGGCACTTGGAGGTTCCCTTCCATTCATCCAAGCATCCCACATCTCCATGACCCTAAGACGTAAGATCCTGTT